TCAGTACTCTTACCTCCCTTTTTTACAAATTAGGAAACCAAAGATCAAAGAGATTGAATAACATACCCAAGATTACACAGCTACTAGGCCGTAGGGATGGGATTTGAATCCTCCCTGCCCAACACGGTCTATACTGTGCACTAGCTGTGATGTGACCCTTTGTAAGTTAAGGGCCTCCTATCTTGGGGTCTCAGCTGCCTCCTGTGTAAGAGGGAGAAACTTAGCATGTCTGACTCCATGTTGCTTCTATTTCCCTTGCCACTGTCACCTGTAGCTTAGAAACTTCTGCTTTGCCCTGCACATAGGCATGTTAATCATTAAAGGAATTTTGCTTACAACCAAGACTTACAAAAACCACTTTCTTACCCGAAACCTACCTCACTGGAGGAGGCACAGAAGTACGTACAGAGTTGACTATGCTATGTTTAAGATTTACAGGAACGATGTGACCAGATTCCTACACGCAAAGATCAACTGACCAAGGACAAAGAAGTTACACAACCTTTTCCTTTTTTTAAAAAGACTTATTTATTTATATTAGACAGAGAGAGAGTGGGGGTGGCGGGGCAGAGGGAGAGACAGAATCTCAAGCAGACTCCCGAGTGCAGAGCTCGACACAGGGCTCAATCCCAGGACCCTGAGATCACCACCTGAGCCGAAATCAAGAGTCAGATGCTTAACCTACTGAGCTACCCAGACGCTTCGACAGGACCTTTTTCAATGCAGACATCAGTCATCTTTTGACTCCAATCCCCTCCCACTTCCCCCTCTTCCTAACATAAAAGAAGCTCAACTCTCATCCTCAGACAGGTTGTTCTCTGGGACAATAGTCCACCATCTCTTCGTTTTGCTGGCTTTCCCAATAAAGTCACCTTCCTACCCCAACTTCTTGCCTCTTAACTTACCGGCCTGTCATTCGGCGAGCAAACAAACTTGGACACAGTTACAAAATGAGGGGTTGGACAGGAATGGGGCCAAGGGGATCCGTTCACATGACATCTTTGCAGCTGTCTTGGGGCCCCCCAAGAGCCCAAATGTGTGCCTTGGATCAAACTGTCTTTAAGTGGTTCACTCCCACAATATCCATTTGTGTAAGAAGAATGCCATGACCCTCACAACAGCCCTTCAGCCTCTTCCTCTTTCACTCGAAGCAGAAAGCAGAATCCCCATGGAAGACAGATGGCCATGGGGACTTGGTAGGCAGTGAGAGCACGCCCAAAGGCCCCCAAGGCATGGGTGACAATTGGTAAAAGGACCAGGCTCTAGGACTTGAGACCCCTCTGATAGGAAAACAGGAAAGGAACTCAGCAGAAACCTTAATTTTTAAAAAGGGCTCTATAAGTATCACAAGCAGTTTGCTTCCATCAATACATAAAGAGTTTTTACAGACCAACACAGTACCACAATTGAGAAGTCTAAGACAATTCGCAAGAATTTGTAGAAATGACCTATATGCATTTAAAGAAAAAGCCCAACTTCAGTAGTAATCAAAGCAACAAACCATCTTAACGTATTCTTGCATAACAGCAGATGTTTCTAGATCTAACTACCAGTTTATAGACAATACGGGGGAAAGAAGAACATTTAGAAGACTCCTGGCAGATACAGTCAGCTGAAATCTAATGTGGAGAACTTTATAGAACAAACAGCCCAGTTGCTTCCACAAATACATTTTAAGGAAAAGAGGGGGAAGAGAACTTACATATTAAAAGAAACGTAACTGGGGGCACCTGGGTGGCTCAGTTGGTTAAGCGACTGCCTTCGGCTCAGGTCATGATCCTGGAGTCCCGGGATCGAGTCCCGCATCGGGCTCCCTGCTCGGCAGGGAGTCTGCTTCTCCCTCTGACCCTCCCCCCTCTCATGCTCTCTCTCTCTATCTCATTCTCTCTCAAATAAATAAATAAAATCTTAAAAAAAAAAAAAAAAAAACGTAACTGAAATATCACCCAAAAGCAAAGTGTGTACCTTATTTGGATAAAACAAAGCCAAATGTAACAACATGACATAATTAGGGACATTTAAACATTGGTTGGATATTTGATGATATTAAGAAATTATTGTCCAGGGGCACCTGGGTGGCTCAGTCAGTTGGGCGTCTGACTCTTAATTTCGGTTCAGGTCGTGGTCTTGGGGTCGCAGGATCAAACCCTGCATCAGGGTCTGCGCTCAGTGGGGAGTCTGCTTGAGATTTTCTCCCTCTCCCTCTGTCCCTCCCCCTGCTCGCTCTCAAATAAATAAATCTTTTAAAAAAGAAACTATCGTCCATTTTTTAGGGTGTGATAATGGTACTGTAGGTATGTTTATTAAAAGATTATTTATCTTTGGGGCACCTGGCTGACTCATTTGGGAGAGCATGTGACTCTTGATCTTGGGGTCATTGAGTTTGAGCCCCACACTGGGTATACACATTACTTAAATAAATAAAACTTAAAAAGAAAAGATTACTTATCTTTTAGAGATACTTAAGGAAATGTTTATGGATGAAAATATATGATGCCTGGAATTTCCTTTAAGATTATTGGAGGGAGGAGAGAGAATGCGGGTGACAAAGGAAACAAGACTGGCCACGAATCAGTATCGCTGAAGCGGGGTGGGAGGTACATGGGGGTTCACCATGCTCTTTTGTCTTTACATCTGAGAGATTTCATAATCAAAAGTTAAGAAAAACAATGGTAAATTGTCTGAAGTCTGAAAGATTCTACATAAAAATATGTGAACTCTGGGTGAGATTACATTAACTTTCCCCCTTTTAAAAAAATCTGTAGCAAGGAGCGTGCATAATCAGAAAGGAAGTAATGTTTGAAAAGGGTTTTAAATTAAAGTGTATATACCAGTCACGACTAAAGGGGCCACAGAAAGTGGGCGGCAGCCAACTCTTCCCTCTAGGGGAGCACAGACTGGGCTTTGTGCCCTCAACTCCTGGAGGTGGGGACTCAGGGAGGAGGGGCGGGGGGAGGAAGGGGGGAAAGTAGGGGGAAAGAAGGACCTGCACTGTGGGTTCTGTGCTGAGCACAGTCCCAGCCACACCTCACACAGCCTGTGAGGAGGCGGTTGTTGGTCCTCCGTAATTAATAGGTGGGGAAACTGAGGTTCAGAGAGATCAATGAAGCTGAGGGGATGAGAAGGGGAGCCAACCTGCTGAATTCCATGCTGGGGACTTCTTTCACTCAATTCCTGCAGCCAGCTCTCTGGAGTGGGTATCATTTTCCCCAGCTTACAGAGAAGGAAACAGTCTCCCAGAGGCAAGGCGACTCACCCAAGAAACTCAGCCAGGGGCTGCCCAGGATCAGCACTGGCCTCCACCCTGCCCCTGGGCACTCACTCCCACAGTGGGCTGTGTCCTGAAAGGCCCCGGGGCGGGAGGCTTCCGTCCTAGGGGCAGGGCACTTCACCTGTGTGATTCACATCCTCTGGCTCTGGGCTGATGGGTGAGCAGCCTGGCAGGGGCAAGGGCCCCCCTGAGGGAGTAGGAGGCCTGGATGCCTGGTGAGGCCTCTGGCTCGGAACCCCTGGGGAGACCTGAGCCTTCCCCTCACCTATATTGCTGGGATGAGCACAAGCTGCCACTAGCTGAGGACTGCATGAGACTCTGGGTAAATGCGAGTGTGGCTTATAAACTGTGAAGTACCACACGATGTGCAGAGTCTCGGGGTGGTGCAGTGAGCATCTGTGTGCAAGAAGTCTCTCTGCAGGGCGCCTGGGTGGCTCAGTTGGTTAAGCGACTGCCTTCTGCTCAGGTCATGATCCTGGAGTCCTGGGATCGAGCCCTACATCGGGCTCCCCCTCCTCAGCGGGGAGCCTGCTTCTCCCTCTCCCTGCCACTCCCTCTCCCTGCCTGTGCTCTCTCTCTCTCCCTCTGTCAAATAAATAAATAAATAAATAAATAAGGCTCTCTGCAGCCGCCCCATCTGAGCCTCACCTGAGAAGGACCAGCACTAGGCTGTTGTCAGGGGAGGGGAGAGCGGACGGTGCAAGGCAAGGCCCCCAGCGGGGTGGAGAACCAGAGGGCCTCTCCCTCCTGCACCCCAAGCTCCCCAACCCCCCATCACCCAAGGCAGCTCAGGCCCTCAGGGAAGATCTCTGGAAGCAGGGAGACTGGCCTCCGCACCCAGACCGCAGAGCCCTCCGGGCCGGCCAGAGGGCAGGTGAAGCCGTGGCCTTTCTCCTGGGGTCGCCTGCCTGCCCGCTGGCCGTGCTGGTCCAGGCCTGGGTCATCGCCTGCCGGAACTCAGCTTCTAAGGCAGTGCCCGTAACCCCAGGCCTGAGGGCCTCTGCAGGCCCTCTGGAGGCAGCTGGCCCCGGGGTACTGGGGGGATGTGTGCCCACCCTGCAGACTTAACCTCCCTCCCTGCGATCCTTGCCTCCTCTCTCTCTCCTCGGGGCGTCGGGTCTCCCCACTCTTTCTCTACCTTTCGGTCGCTTTCACGTCTCTGTTCAATCCCCCCCCTCCCTGGCCCGTCCCCCCTTCTCCAGCTCTCTGCTCTCCCTCCGGCTCGGTTCCACCCCCGGCCCGCCCGGCCCGGCCCCACTCACCGGCGGCGCGGAGCAGGGCGAGCCCGGCCAGCGCGCAGAGCAGGGGCCGCATG